CAGAAGCTTTCAAGAGTTAGCTCTGGTCAGGCTCCTTTCCCCGCAGTGCACGGTTCCCCTGCTCACGGCTCTGCCAGTGCACATCAGCCCTAGGCAGTCCGTGCCTCGTTGCCTTCAGGCGCCGTGCTCTGCCAGCAGCAGCTCTTAACACCCACGGTATAGCATTTGGCAGCTCAGGTTGCAAGTAAGATGCAAGAGATAGGATGGTGAAGAACTTCCCCATCTGAGTTGCTGCATGGTGCCATTATGGGCTGTCAAATGATTTCCCGATAATACCCTTCACCACTGGTGACTGGAACAAGAGAGTGTGCGCCACTTTCTGACAACCTTGAAGATTAAAAAAAAAAAAAAAAAAGAACTCTAATCAACTAGTAACCAAAATATAAATGTCAAGCAAAGGTTGTTGAGGCAAATTTCCTCACGAGACCGTGGTGCAAAAAGGAAGGAAGCCGTGTTGAAAGATCTTTCTGCCCATAGCAGCAGCTTGGCCAGCAGCACATCAGCCTGAATGTTGGTGGAATATCTGGGGCAGAAGAGGGCACCAATTCAACTCATTCGGGATGTAGCCTGGCAGTACATCTACCCTAGCAAGTAAACATGATCAAAGAGAGCTTGTTGCGGTTTGCCACTCCCAGGCAGTGTCCTCTGTTGTTTGTTAACCCGTTCCATTTGTTCAGACAATTTTTAAGACTATTGTTGATAATCCAGTTTACTGAGGTATCCTATAAATTGTGGGGAGAAAGGACAAGACTAGCATATTGCAGGGTCAAGGATGGGCTAGAAGCAGAGTGATCAGCGGAACTTGCTTATGCCATCTGCGAAGCTGCGCAGGCCTCGGCGGTACGATGGTTAAATGTGCTAGTGATCAGTTAGCGCTTGACGTATCTGCATCGCTCACTGTGGTGGAACTTGAGAAATTCCTCTGAGGAGATGGCACTCTGGTTTTGCTTTCAATTCAGCAAGACTTTAGCTCCCCCAGTGCTGCTGTCCGAGCTGCAGATTCCTCTGTAGAGTATTGCTGTACTTTCTCCCCTCCCTAGGCTGCATTGCTGAATACAACAGTAGCACAGGGAATAGCAGTGAGACTACAGAAACTACAGAGCTAACTTCCTTGCCTACCAGGCTGGAGGGGACTGAACCATGTCTTGTCCTCTCCAAAATGCAAACTTGGCTTTATAGTCTTCTCTAAAAGAAGCAGAGGTACAGCCCAGTGGGTTGCTTGCATACAAGCACTAAACAAAACTGCCTGTTTATGGTCCAGAAAATAGCACCCGTGTGCTATCTTAATGCGTCTCCCAAGCAAAAAGGGAAGCATCTGTCTGACAAATCTGCCTGTTCCCATGGCCCTCAGGGCTGTTGAGGTTTAGGCCAGGCTGTTCTGAAGGTCTTTAGTACTGCTGACCAGCAAGTGACCGCATAAGAAAGCATGAGAAGAAAGGAAGACAGAAGTGAGCGCAGCTAATCTTAGTGCAGTGGTGAGTGACGTGCCTGTACGCTCACGATGGGTAGAGGAGCAGCCTTTTACAGCACGGAGAAGTTGCTGGGAGTGACAACGGTGGCTTGCGTGTGCCTGCAGGCTGCCCTAATTTGGAGGCCCCTGGCTCTGTAGCATTTGAGGCGCCAGAAATCTGCTTCTACCAAGCTGTGAGTGTCAGTGTTTCTTGAGTTGTCCTCAGATAAACCCTCTCTGTTTAGAGGTTGAAGACAAGCAGTGGCTGGGGGGTCAGAGGAGAAGCACTTTGCTTAGAGCAGAGGAGCACTGGAATTAGTCAGCTTCGGTCTCTTCCTTTTAAACCTTTGCATGCTAAGCTGAGAGTGCTTAAACCAGTGTTGTAGCAACTTCCATCTGTGGCCTAGCGCTTTTCACGAACAGCTGTAATGTCCTGGCAACGAGTTAGGCTTTGAGAGCTGGGCAATGAAAGCTCGAGAGTCATGTTAAAGCTCTTCCCACCGAGAGAGGGGAGTTCTGAGCAGGACGGACAGGACGATTTTCCTAGGCCACCTCCACTCCAGCTCCCTCTGCCAGCCTCTACCAAATCTGCCTGCCCCTCTTTTACTGGCCTTGCTTTTATTGCAAATTCGTAAGTCCTTTGTTTTCATTTGCATCAAATTCTGTGCGGTTGGTGCTTACACAGAACGGTTACCACTGGAAAAACAGGAGGGCCAGCACCAGGGGATGAATGCGTGTGACTGGGGGTCGTGAGCAAGGGCTGATCTTTTCAAGCAGTACAGAGGCTCTTCTCCACAGGGTCGTCTAGAGGGGAGCTCAGCCTCTGCAGACATCCGAGTAGTCCAGTGGGTATTTCTGAGCACCTTCTCCAGGGTAAGCCTGGCTGTCCTCACCGAAGGCATCGAGTGCCACGTGCTCTTGTTCCATCCAGCTCAGCACATGAGATTGTAGGAAAGGCTTTGTTCCTTTTAAAGGAAGTCTCTTCTCGGCTGCTCCAAGTCAAGAAATTATCCCTTTAACACCTCCAGCCTCCTAAATTCACTGTTTTTTTTTTTTCTTCCCACCCAAAGCCCTCTGCAGAGAAGTAGCTGCAGGAACCAGCTATCATCCTAGTGCTGACAGGAGGCTACATTTGAATGCTGAGCTTTTTCTGTGCCTTACAGTGCTGGGGACTAGGAAATCTGAAGAGGACTGGACAGATTGCTGAGAGATTGGAAATGGAAGCTGTGCAGTGCAAAAGAGGAGTTAGGACTACGTTGATCCTGCAGTGATGAGCAGGGGATCTAGAGGGAACTAGGAACAGCACGTGATGCCTGCCCTGCCATCACAGCACCCTCCACTAAGCTGTGAAAATAAACCTAGAAACTGCCTTAATAAGAGGGAGAGCTTTATTTGGCTCTGAACTCAAGAGGAGAGGGTGCCTTGTGGCCCGGCTGCTCCTGCAGTGCCGTTAAGCAGTGAATAATGTGTGTTGTATACCAGAGGCCGGTCCCAGTCTTGTTGCTCGCTCTAGGTGGAGGCATCCCAGCATCCAGTTGTTTGCTCGTTGCTACCCCCTGAGCCACCAGACAAGGCCTTCACGCCTCTCCCCATCCTCCTTTTCTGCCTGTGTAGAGAGGGCTGAGGCAGGGAGAGGCAGAGCTCGGCAGCAACCATGTAGGTCTGGCAACTGGGTTTCCTGCTGTTTCACCTTCCTCCTGCCCTCTCCTCTTCTGCTGCACCCTGTGAGCTCGGGGCCGTCCCCTGGCCCGTCACTGCTTTGGTCTTTGCAGCCTAGCCAGGAGGCTCTTTAATTGCTGGTTTCTATGTTAACAGCCACCCTTCAGGTGCCACCCTCTGTGCTATGGAAACCTTTTTTAAGAGGCACTTCCAGAGGAAGGGGCCCTCGGGGTCGCGGCGAGCCCGCGCGGGGGGCGTGCCCCCAGGGA